GCTCTTGCAGTCGTACCTAGTTTTCTCCTCCCTATGTGATGGGTTGCCTACAAGTACTGTCCTTTGCCACCTACCACTCAATTTTTTTAAAAAAAGCAACGCTTGTAGTGTCATATTTATTTAGGTATTTTGTACTATTCTATAATCTGTCTTTTTATGTTTTGTTTGGATTTTAGACTTCTCACGAATTAATCGGAGATCAGGACAACTCTCGTGGATCTGGGTGCTCCACCAGCAGCGATGACTCAGAACTTGTAAGTTGCTTGTCAATCGTTCTCTATTGAGGTTTTGAATCAAGAGATTTGCACCCAGAACCAGTGTAAACCGTTGGGCTTTCTTCTATTGTTACAGCCTTCTAAACGCAAGAAAGTTGATAGAGACCCTCTTCCATCTATCGCTGCTCGGCATTTAGAAGAATTAGTAAGACTTTTTTTATATTAGCCGTCATATTTTTTATGACCTAATTGTCATACGAATAATATCACATTTTTATTTTGTTCTTACAGGATGTCAAGGAAGTTCTGGAGAGCAACGAGAGCAAGGGAGTGCCGGTTCTTCGTTTTTATGAAGCATTTCAATTCCTGAAGAAAAAACACAGGGATAATCTCGTCGAAATTGTTGTCGACGCTCTTTTGAAGATAAGTCATACGTGAGTACACTTGCTTTATCACTTGTGTTTCTCTCGTGTATCGGTTTACAAATAGCGTTAATTTTTTTTTCTTTTCCAGTATGAAAAATTCTGATTTCGAGGCTGTTAGTAAAAAGATAATTAAAGTGTTCCCTGCAGAAACCGTTGTAAGTCACCAAAACTCCTTGCATTTCAAAACAGTTGTTCCTTAAATTGCGTTTTTTAGACACAATTCGATTCATAGTTCTTTGTTTTTGGTAATATTCCAGGATATCTACTACAAACCCCCGAAGTCAGAGAGCCCAAACCAATTAATTTCTTCAGGGCGAATTCCTACTCGTTATAGGAACACACTTCAAAGAAGAAAAGTACTCGCTGGAGTGAGCACGCCACGAAAGCCGCAAGCTGTACCATCTCAATCCGGGGAAACTCCGTATCAACTTGTCATTAAAACTGGTATGCTTCCAGCATTATTCCGCTCCCAATATTTGTTTTTCAATACTACATGTCAGTACACGATGTTAATTCTTTGTTTACAGCAAATTCACCAGAGTGTAAGGCAGCTGTTAGTTGGCTGGCAAACAGCTCGGATGACTGGCCCCTGATCAAGAAGTACTGGAAGCAATCTGCTCCCCTGCGTCTGAAGTCCAACTATACTGACAAGAAATACTCTGCTGCCACCTATATTGAGAACTGGGCGGTGCTAAAACACCCGTCAGGATTCACTCTGGTAATTTGAACCAACTTCCACATTTAAGAGACGGCCAATTAAATTACTTTTCTATAACATTTTAGAGCAAGGTTTTCTGTTTTTCTCTCAAACTATTTTGTTTATGTGTTCACCTGTTTTAATTATTAGAAACGGTACGAGTTAACCCTTTTGTACATATTTCTTCTTTACAGTATGAAGTTGACTTCAGTCTTCTGTATCCTGACAAGGAGCTGAGTCTTTTCGCAGTTTGGGACGTTTTTGTGGAAAACATCTTCACACTGGCAGAGAGGGACGTATGTGACGATGTGGCACTTCAATCACTCGCCCTCGCTCGGACAGCTAAGCATCGTATGTATCCTTCCGGCAATATTCATTGGTGCCTTCAAGCAGCGATTTTCGACTATGTGTAATAGTAATTTTCTTCCATTAGCTAACACCAAGGGCGTCTTCCTCCTGACTATACTGCCAGCTCTGTGCCAGCCAGCCGGGCGTTCGAAGACTCCAGCCTCAGAGAAAAAGCAGAAGCTCACCATTGCTTCTGCACGCAATGCACTGTATCTTCACGTTAAGGTATGTGTGTGTCCATCTCATACTTATTGTACTCACGATCTATGCATTACGTCCATCATGTCATTTGAAGTCTAATAAGATTAGCCTTTGGAGGCTTAGAGCGCCTGATGGGTAGGCAACATCTTGTATGCGGTGCATAGGTGTAGTGTGGGGTAGCCTACCTGGGATCTCGCAGGCGCC